CACTCCCGTGCCCGTGAGAGGCCGCGCCGCCCCTGCCCCTGCACCAGCTGCTCGCTCTGCCCCTCGCCTTGCCCTCCAGCCCAGCTCCAGGGCGCTTTCCGGGTCACAGGCTGGGCAGTGAGGCGGAGGAGAAAGCCCCGTGTCCCGGCTCGCCCACCCCTGAGCCTGCGGGGCCGAGGGGGTCACCGTGATTGGGACAAACAGCTGTTCAGGAGTGAGTGCGTCCCGGGAGGGTGACCTGGAAATGGAGACACGTTCTTCTCACTGGGCTTGTACTCCAGGCCGTGGTGCCCCGGACCCCACTGTAAACACCTCCTCTGGGCCTGGGGTGCTCCCCGCACAAGCCCTGGCCCCCGAGCGTGGTCCCTGCTGCCAGCTGTGGGTGCCCCGCGCTGTGTGTGGCCGCAGGGACGGTGGCCCGGGAGGCTGTCCCGGCACCCGCCAGCCCGCCTGGGCGCCCAGGGGCCAGGCCCACACTTCAGACACGGGGAGGCCTGCAGCTCCGGAGGCCCAGCCGTCACCCTCGGGGTGCAGAATGCTTTCTGCTTTGCCCATTGTCATTCACGCGAGAAACTGCCCCTTCCCGGCTCCTTCCTGCGCCTGCTGCCCGCCCGCCCGTTATAGACAAGCTGGAAACCACGACTGTGGGCGTTTCCCACGGGAGCGGCGGGCAGGGGGTCTCCGCAGCCATGGGAGCTTAGCTCCAGTCCCTGGGTCGGCCCTGGGCAGCTGTGTTCGGGCCTGGGGTGTTCACCGGTGACCCCATTGCTGCAGGCTTTTGGGGGTCAGACCCTTGTCCATGTGTGTGTGTGTGTGTGTGTGTGTGAGAGAGAGATGGAGGGGTTTTGGGGCTTTCTCTCGGGGGCTGGGGGGACTGCCCTCCTCTAAGAAAAGGGACATTGTCCGCTCTGGTGACCCTGTCATTGCCACCAAAGCAGTGAGTTCTCTTCTCGAAACAGAAAAATCAGCCCTTGTTCCCAAGTAGGAAGGAACAAGTCCCATGGGGAGGTCGTGGGAGACCTTTCCAAGTATCTGCGCGTCCTTGGCAGACGCAGAGCCCTGGGCCTGACACCCTCTCCCGCTTCCTGGAAGCCAGCAGTGGGGCCGGGAGCGGCCACAGAGGGGAATGCAGCTCTGACTCCTCCTGGTTTGGGTGCAGGTGCCTGGGGGCTCTGCTGGGGGCGGGGGTGTGCGGGGAGCCTGCACCTCGTAGACTCGCTCCTGGGAGGGTGATAACATGAGCAAGGGCAGCCCTGGACCCAGGAGGGACCCAGCTGACCTTTGCATCTGGTCCCACCTCGCCGGGGGCTGGTGGATTCAGAGGTGGCGGCTGGAAGAAGGCGTTCGGGGTGGGAGAGGCTCAAAGTTCTAGGCAGCAGGGCGGGAGGCCGGTGGCCGGGACCTGGGTCCTCGGGCGGCAGATGGCGGACGGCGGTGGGATGGGCCTGGTGTTCAGCCCAGGGCTCGGGGCCCCGGCAACGTTGAAATCTCCTATTTTTATCCCTGCCCCACGCTGTGTTTACCCGTCTGAGAACGGGCACAGCCACACGTTCGCTAACAAGTCAGGGTTTTGACTTAGAACCGGAAGGCCGTTTGCTCAGTAGCGGCGTGTTCAAACAGTTGTGGCGTTCCGGACATCTCCGCGGCCGCCTCCCATTTCACCAAGGTCCACGGCCACCCCATCGCTTCGCCCCATCCCTTCCCCCTGGACCCGGGCATCTCGGTCCCTCCTCCAGGCAGCTGTCCCGTGTCCCCAGGGTTTCAATCAGCCGTGGCAGCATCACCCCGCGCCGTTCTGAGGGTGGAAAGGGTGTCATTAAGAAGCTGCCCCAATAGGCACAAACCGAAACTGTCCCGGCGGGCGGGGTGTCTGTCTGCCACCTGATTAGGAGGGAGGGAAGGGAAGGAATGTGACTGGGGAATGAGGCCATAAACCCTCTGTGTGTGGGACTGCCCTTCAGCCCCACACCTTCCGAGTCACCGGCACCTCTTATGTAACCAGTCTGGGCGCCGCCGAGTCCAGCGGGCAGGAAGGAACCGCGTGTGCCCAGCCCAGCCGGCCCGGCCGAGGTCATACCAGGTGGACCGGCTAACGTGGATTTTGTCATAAAAGAAAACAGTAATTTCACGAGAAACATCAAAAGTGCTTTATTCAGCCCTAGATGGTTTGGCTCAGTGGCTAGAGCATTGGCCTGCAGACTCAAGGGTCACAGGTTCGATTCCGGTCAAGGGCATGTACCTTGGTTGCAGGCACCTACCCAATGGGAAGTGTACAGGAGGCAGCTGATCCATGTTTCTCTCTCATCGATGTTTCTGACTCTCTGTCCCTCTCCCTCTCTGGGAAAAATCAATAATATGTATATATACATATATATTTTAAAGTGCCTTATTCAAAGTAATGTCCATTGCTAGCTACACATTTCCCATCTTCCAGGTAATTTGTGGGTACCGTCCCAATAGAACTTTTCTTGTTTTGAGGCAAACCATTCAGAGACCCAATTTCCCACTTCTTTTACATTTGTTTTTTTGTTGTTGTTGTTTTTTATATGTTTTATTGATTTTGTACAGAGAAGAGAGAGAGATAGAAACATCGATGAGAGTCATTGATCAGCTGCCTCTTGCACACCCCATACTGGGGATATGCCCACAAACAAGGTACATGCCCTTGACCGGAATCGAACCCGGGATCATTCAGTCCCCAAGCTGATGCTCTATCCATTGAGCCAAACCGGTTTTGGCTTCTTTTACGTTTTGAAGTGCTGCTCAGAAAGTGCGTGTGCCCTCGATCGGAACAAGCGGTCACCTGACGGAGCAGATCTGATGGCCACGGTGGGTGGGTTCATACTTCCCAGGCAAGATCTTTTCACGTGTCTTTAACTGGCTTTGAAGTGTGTGATGGTGCTTCATCATGAAGCAAAGTTACTTGGCTGTATCTTCTGGCCCATTCTGGTCCTTTCACGATCACAGTGTGGTTCAGCTTGACCTGGACATTCTTTGCCTTTCACATCCAAATAACCACCTTTAAAGCATTTAAACCAGCGTTCACAAGTATCTTGAGATGGAGCGTGCTCACCATAAGCTTCCCGAAGTACACGATCACTTTCAGCAGCACTTTTCTTCAAATTAAAGTAATGAATTAAAACTTCCCGCAAATGCCCATTTTTTAGGAGCACGAAATTTGACATTTTTAAGCATAAAAACACCTATGATGTTAACACCTTCAGAAAATTTGACATAGGAAGCTTTGAAGCTTGCTGTCAATACAACAAAATAGCACACATATGAAATTGCATCTATATCAACCTATGTGTAGCTCCAGCGATTGAATAAAATCCGCATTATTAACCGGTGCACCCGGTGATGAGGCCTCCTTCCCGGCATTGTTCTAAGGTGCGTGTGGGCCGGGCCGGGGAAGCTGGCTATACTTAGGCCTGACTGGCAGGCGGTCCCAGGGGCCGGGGCCGGGGCCGGGGGAGCGGTTCCTGGAAGGCACTATCCGCCACCTCCACCCGCCGCCCGGCTCCCGCGCCTTCCTAAGTGGTCCCAGGGGCAGCTAAGCGTCCGGGAAAACGAGGCTTTTTGCACGTAGCGATGGGGAAGACCCCAAGGCCACCATCCTGAAGGGCTCTGGGCGAATCCGGCCCCTGCCTGCCCTGCAGCAAAGCTGGGCTCTGCGGTGATCAGCTCACAGACGTGTGGATCCGCTGCCATGGAGCCCGGGTCCCCCAGAGAGCGGGCTGGGTGCTGGCGAGGACGCCTGCTCTCGGCGGAGCAAGGAGCACCATTTATCTCTATTTTTGTTTTGTTTAACGTGCAGCTTTTTATTGGTTTTAGAGAGGGGGCACAGGGGGAGAGGGAAACACAATGTGTTGTTCCTCTTACTTCTGCATTCGTGGTGTGTGCCCTGACCTGGGACCGGACCTGCCGCCTCGGTGTATAGAAATGATGCTCTGGCCAGTGGAGCCGCCCGGCGGGGGCTTGTTCTGTCCCCGTGTAAAGTGTCAGTGCAGCGGGTTGTAGAGGCCCCCCTGGGCAGGCACATGGGCATTTCTTTAATTACTGTCAGCTGAACTCAGGGCGACAGGCAGAGCCACGCCCTGCCCTGGGAGCATGCTTCCCCAAAGAGGCTGGACATGGTATCAGTACTGACTTCTCACCTTTGATATGTAAATCCAGCCAAGCACCAGGAATGCTCAGGCCCACTCAAGAATGCAAATAAACTCCTTTGATCCTAAGTTTTGACGACACTTTCTGGAATTTTGGGTTATAAATAAACGTGCTGCCTGGGCTCTGGGTCCTGCCCCTCCTTCAGAGGAGGCAGCGTCCCACCCGGCTCCCAGCTTTACATTTCTAATTCTGCATCTTCTTTCTTTCTTTTTATTTCTCAACTCCCAGCTCCTCTACTCAGGAACTGGACCCGTTCCCTTTCCGTGTTGGACGCTGAAAGGAGAGAACACCCCACAGCAGGTGTCCACGAAATCACGCGTGCAGAGTGACCACAGGGGCACCCTCACCTGCAGGGCATTGGGCCTCGTCCCTAAGGAGAGGGCCTGGCACTCTAGTTCCTGAGCCTAGTGTGTGTGTGACCCCCGGACTCTACTCTCCAACCCACGGGTCCCTCACCTCAGCGCAAAGGCTGGGGTTGTGAGCTCAGCCAGAGCCTGTGCGGACACGTCCAGATCCTGCGGGCGAATAGGCAGCCCCCGGGGCCTGACCCCGGGCACATCCCCGGGCACCTGCCCAGGCTGCTGGCCACAGCTCCCTTCCCTGCACCCGGAGCAATGGCTGTCAGTTGCGCTGCCTGAGGCTGTCAGATGAGAGTTCCACGCCCAGGGCGACAAGTTCACCTCCACCTTCTCCACCTTCTCAGGGTCCCTGGCTGGACCTGAATGTTACACTGACAAGGACAGATTTTCAGATTTCCTGAAGGTGTTAACATCATGGATATTCTTACGTTTAAAAATGTAGAAGTCCGTGCCAAAATAAAAAAGCATTTGTGGGAAGTTTTAATTCATTACTTTATTTTGAAGAAAAAGTTATTGTATACTTTGGGAAGCTGATGGTGAACATGCTCCATCTCAACATTCTTGTGAACGCTGGTTACCTGGAAGATGGGGAACTGTGTAGCTAGCGATGGACAGTACTTCGAATAAAGCACTTTTGATGTGACTCTTGAAATTACCGTGTTTTCTTTGATTACAAAATCCCCATTATTGACCGGCATCCGCATTATTGACCGGTATTCCATTATTGAACAGTATCCACATTATTGACCAGTATCCACATTTGTGAAGCTCTTTATCTGGCCTTCGATTCTGAGTGATAGCTTTGCTGGGTAGATTATTTTTGGCTGTAGGTTCTTGCTATTCATCACCTTGAATATTTCTTGCCATTCCCTTCTGGCCTGCATGGTTTCTGTTGAGAAGTCAGCTGACAATCGTATAGGTGCTCCTTTGTAGGTTACTACCTTCTTTGCTCTTGCTTCTTTTAATATTCTCTCTTTGTCTTTTGCTCTTGGAATTTTAATAATGATGTGTCTCGGTGTGGTCCTCTTTGGATTCCTTTTGTTTGGAGTTCTGTGCGCTTCCTGGACTTGTAAGTCTAATTCTTTCACCAGGTAGGGGAAGTTTTCTGTCACTATTTCTTTCAGTATGTTTTCCATATCTTGCTCTCTCTCATCTTCTGGGACCCCCATAATTCTGATGTTGGTTCGCTTGAAGTTGTCCCAGAGGTTTCTTACATTATCTTCAATTTTCTGGATTCTCTTGCCTTCTAGCTTCTGTGGAGGAGTGTCTTCTGGCTCTTTATGTTCCAAATCTTTGACTTGATTCTTGCGATCTTCCCTTCTGTTTTTAGGACTCAGTAAAATATTTTTTATTTCAGACAATGTATTCTTTATTTCTTGTTGATCCCTTATCATTTCTTGTTGACTCCTTATTAATTCTAGTTGATCTCTTTTCATATCCTCGTAGCCCTTATCCATCTTTTCTAAGAAATTCTTGAAAAAACTTATAAGCGTAGATTTGAACTCTATATCCAGACGCTTTTTGTCCTCCATTTCTTTCGTTTGTGATCTATTTTGTTGTCGCATTTCGCAGTTACAGATGGGACGGGGTTTCAGGGTGGAGCCTGCAGCTTTGGCTTCTGTCAGCCCCGCCCTATGCGGGTCCTTCAGTGCTCGCTGCTGCCAGCGCCTCTGAGAGAAAGGTGCCCTCGATTTTCGCCTGCTGCCAAACAGTCTATGCTCTCCCACAATGAGCCCGGTATTGGGGTTCAGTTCAGTTGGAAATGGAGTTGGAGGTGGCGTTCAGAGCAGTCTGGAGCCCCAGTCTCCTTCCCGTCAGGGCGATCCCGCGGCACAGCCGACCGTCCCTTCTCTGCGCGCAATGTGCCTGCCTCCGGGACCTCCTTTCGCCTCTCCCCGGGGTTCCGCCTTACAGCCCAGCTCCCTATGGCTGAGCCTGAGTCCCCGGGGTCTGGCCCAGAACCGGGGATCAGAGCAGTCGGGGGCCCAGCACAGTCGGAGCTTTTCTCTCCTTTCCGCTCAGGAACGCCCGCCAGGCACTCGGCCTCCCTCCTCTCCGGCTCCGTCCTCTCCGCGCCGCGTCTCCGTACCTTGGGCTTTTCCAGCTCCTCCGCGCCTCTTTCTGGTTTTCTCCTTGCTTCTCGCTGTAGAATTTCCAGTCAGTCAACCTTCCTGTAGTTCTGGGCAATGTCCGTTTTATATTTTAGTTGTATTTTATTGAAATTGTTGTGTGCGGCTGCGGCTAGGTGTTCACCTGGGCGCAGCCATCTTGGATCCTCCAGTATCCACATTTTTGACTGGTATCCCCATTATTGACTAGTATCCCTGTTATTGAACGATATCCACATTATTGAGCGGTATCTCTATTATTGACCAGTATCCCCATTATTGACCAGTATCCACATCATTGAATGGTATTCCCATTATTGACCACTATCCCCATTATTGACCACTATCCCCATTATTGACCAGTATCCACATCATTGAATGGTATTCCCATTATTGACCACTATCCCCATTATTGACCAGTATTCACATTATTGACCGGTATCCACATCATTGAACGGTATCCCCATTATTGACCGCTATCCCCATTATTGACCAGTATCTACATTATTGACCGGTATCCACATCATTGAATGGTATCCCCATTATTGACCGCTATCCCTATTATTGACCAGTATCCGTATTATTGACCAGTCCACCTGGTAGACTGGCCGGGAACCTGCCTGAGGCCACAGCCCTCAGCGGTGAAGCAGGAATTCAGACCCAGAGGCCTTGCGCTCCCGCCCAGGGGATTAGAGGGATTTTTTCCGGGTTCTCTGCGTTCCTGCATTGCGACATCTCCGAGGTGGCACGTGCCATGTTGCTCTCCGCCACGGGGAACAGGCAGTCCTTCTCTCGCTGGATTACGCAACAGGGGCCGTCCTTGCAGGTGACGGGAAGGCGGCAGAGGAGGCCCAGGCGTGGGGTCAGAGACGCCACCAAAGGCCCATCTCCTCCGTCCCCCTCTCCTGCCTGTGCCCAGCACCCCCCACCCCCATGGACGCCTGGTCCCCTCGTGGGCACCCTCCCTCATGCAGCAGCCCCGGGAGCCTGAGCGGGCACTGCAGCGTCCAGACAGAAACGGCGCCTCCCTTCTGCGGGGTCTCCTTTTCCAGAGTGCAGGGACCCTCTAGAAGCCCCTCCTAAAGCTGTGCCCGGGAGGAGGGATGCCTTAGGCTCCCCGATCGCCTGCAGGGGTGGGGCCGGCTTCTCTGGAGCCCTCGAGCATGGAAGGTGGGGGTTGTGCCTGAAAAAGTTGGGGCCAAGCAGACGGTCTGCTCTGGTGTATCTCATTTTGTAACTTAAAACTTAAGAAATGACCCCGTGTGGTGAGACACGGGCGAGGCTCTGATGGGGGCGGGGTTGATGGGTCTCCTCCATTCCCGAAAGTCTCCTGCTCTCCATGGGCTCTTCCTGCCCCGTGTCACCGCGGGACATGCTTCCTCGCTGGGACGGCAGGAGCCCAGCGGGCCTCCCTGGCAGCCGAGGGCCACGTGGCTTCAGGGCTGCCAGCCCTGCGGGTCACAGGAGCCAGGCCGTGACCTTTGACCTGGGCTCCCTCCTTGGCCAAGAAAGACCTTCTTTTTATGAAAGATAAGTTTTCATTGATTTCAGAGAGGAAGGGAGAGGGAGAGAGAACACCAACGATGAGAAAAGTAATTAATTAGCTGCCTCCCGCACGCCCCAAACTGGGGATCAAGCCCAACGCAGGCCCGGGCCCCGCCAGAGAATCAAATCGTGACCTCCTGGGTCCTGGGCCAACGCTCAACCCCTGAGCCGCACCGGCCAGGCAAGAAGGTCCTTTCTTTTCTTTAAAATATATTTTATTAATGTTCTACAGAGAGGGAGAGGGACAGAGTTAGAAACATCAGAGAGACATCCATCGGCTGCCTCCTGCACACTCCCTACTGGGGATGTGCCCACAACCAAGGAACATGCCCTTGACCGGAATCGAACCTCGGACCTTTCAGTCCACAGGCCGATGTTCTACCCACTGAGCAACACCGCCGGGCAAGAAGGTCCTTCCCTAAGCTGTCGTGGTGCAAACTTAAGTCCTGCCCTTCGCCGGGCCCCGTGGTGAGCTTCTATCTGTCGTGATTTGACGGGGGCTTCCGAACACATGAGGGCTCGGCCACGATGCAGGCGGTGGCCCTGAAGGTGGCTCGGACCCCAGCATCCCAAATCCGAGGCAGGGGCGGGGCCACGGGGAGGCCCCTAGGGTTCTCCTGAGCCCCCAGACTTCCTCCTCCGCCGCCTCCTGGCAGGTGGGACTGGCTGCAGGGCGCTCGGAGCCCCGCTGTGCACGCGTAACCGGCTGGAGCAGCGTCTCAGAGACAAGGCACAGGGTTCGAGTCTTCTCCAGAGAACGCTGTCAGCTTTGCCTGGTGTTCACACCCAAACTGGCCTCGCTGTCTGTGCGGGGGACAGACCACACGCGGATTTAAAGACAAAGAAAGAAACCCCACTGTGTTCCTGGCTCCGAGGCCAGGGTGCCTGCAGCCTAATCAGCGGGATTAGCCCGGGCTGGGTGCTGGCTCTCGAAGCTGCGCTGCGGGTGCTTCCCTCCTGAGGTCACCGGCCAGGCCCTCGGAGGGAGGGAGCGTGCGCCAGGATTCTAAATCTCCGAACAATGAGCGGATGAGAGCGTCAAGGGCCATTAAAGAGTCACCGGGGTCATCGCCACTTGCTATTTAAGGAATTTATGAGTCAAGCCAATTCAGCCTTCCCGCAGGGGCCATTCAGAAATGTTGCAGGCCGGTTCCGGCCCTGGCCGCCTGCTGGGCAGGCAGCGGGTCTGAGGAGGCAGGGTGCCACCTGGGCATTCCGCACGGCTCTGTGCTGGGGGGCGAGGGCTCTCCCCACGGCTCCCGCTCACACTGGAGGATGCAGCCTGAGGCAAGGGGAGCCCCCAGGAGCTGGGAGAGGCAGGAAGGACCTCCCCCTGGAGCCTCAGGAGGGAAGGTAGCCCTGCCCACACCTGGACTTCGCTGGAGAACCTCTGGCCTCGGGCCTGGGAGAGAACCGTTTCCTGGTTCAGTTGTCGGGTCTGTGCTGTCCGTTATAGCAGCCTCAGGACAGACGCACGTTGGGTGGGTGCCTCCTGAGCCTGGGGGTGGACAGCCCCTCCCCCTGCCAGGTCAGGCTCAGAGGGTGCCCGTGGCCCTGCGGGTGTGGACCAGGTCGTGCAGGCTCCTGGCTTTTCGCCACGGAGGTGGCTTACTGCCGAGAGCAGTGGCCCCCCAGCTAATGTCCCGAGGGGCGCCGCCGGGCACACCTGGACACGAGCACAGAGCCCAACAGAGGCCACCCTGGGAGGGAGCAGGGATCAGACCTGCAGCCCAGGTACCTGGCCTGGACTGGGAATCGAACCTGCAGCCCCCTGGTGCGCAGGCCTGTGCTCTAACCACTGGACCACGCCAGCCGGGGCGCAAATCTACTTTTGTACCGGGTATCCTCCCGCACTGCGCGTGAAGGGGCGGAGCGGATGGTGGCTGAGCTGGCAGTGGAATGGTACATGAGCAGAGGACGTGGAGATGAGATCATGTGACGAAGGGAAGCTGGGAAGAGAGGTGGAGCCGCCCCAGGTGGGGCCTCCGTGGAGCCGCCCGGGGCCCAGGGGGTCACTGTGGTGGGGCCTCCGCGGAGCTGCCCCAGCCCAGGGGGTCACTGCGGGTGCCAGGCCCGGTCAGTCTCCTGTGCATCCCGGTAAGCGTGGCTTGTGTGTAGCACCGTCAGGGCTTCCACAGCAGAGGGAGAGGCAACAGCAGACGGGGGCGCTTACAGGTGAAACCGTGCCAACCAGGGGGCTGGGAGAGCTGTCTGCAGGCCGGCCGCTGCTGAGGACGTGGCCGCTCAGCATTAGCTCCACAAGAGCAGGCTGAGCCGCCGCCTCTGCCCTGACTGTCATGTACCCTCACACTCACACACTACTGCACGCTCACACACTACTGCACGCTCACACACTACTGCACGCTCACACGCACACTCACACACTACTGCCCGCTCACACACACTACTGCACACTCACACGCACACTCACACACTACTGCACACTCACACACTACTGCACGCCCACACACACACTACTGCACGCTCACACACTACTGCACACTCACACACTATTGCACGCCCACACACACACTACTGCACGCTCACACACTACTGCACGCTCACACACTACTGCATACTCACACACACTACTGCACACTCACACACTACTGCATACTCACACACACTACTGCACGCCCACACACACACACACTACTGCATGCTCACACACACTACTGCACACTCACACTCACGCTCACACACTACTGCACGCCCCCCCCACACACTACTGCACACTCACACACTACTGCACGCTCACACTACTGCACGCCCACACACACACACTACTGCACGCTCACACACACACACTACTGCACACTCACACACTACTGCACACTCACACACTACTGCACGCTCACACACACACACTACTGCACACTCACACACTACTGCACACTCACACACTACTGCACGCTCACACACACACACTACTGCACACTCACACACTACTGCACACTCACACGCACACTCACACATTACTGTACACTCACACTCACACTCACACTCACACACACTACTGCAAACTCAAACACATACACTGCGGGGGGCTGTTTCTCTGTTTTCCGTGTTCATCTCCATCAGGAAAAAGGAAACAGTCAGGTTCTTGAGTAGAGGAGCTGGGGATTAAGAAATTAAAGAAAGAGACCAAGAGGCAGAAATAGATTCATCAAACTGGGCGCCATCTCTCCGATGGAGAGGCAGCAGGTTTATTTTATGGGGTCAAAGGAGCTTATGTGCATATTAACTAGGTCCTAGCATTACTGGACTTACGTATCTAGACCCGCCCCTGCTGACACCTGGACAAAGGTAAGTCAAACTGAATAACACCCCCAGCTCTCTGCGGTGTGTGTGTGTGTAACCGGGACACAGAGGACTCTGCCAGTGCCTCGGGCTCAGCTGACAATTTAAAGGATGTCCATGTGCCTTCTCAGGCGGCCCTCTATAACCCCCCCCCCCCCAAGGAAGGGCATGGGAAGGACAATGCTTGCTCCTCCCTCTCCCCCTCTCTGCTGGCTGGAGGCAGAGGTAACTGGTAATGCCAAGCAGCCGGGCACAGGACCCTCTGGCCCTGGCCACGAGGCTTCTGACTCGCTGCGGCCACGTGATGAGGCTCGGACTCCCTGCGGCCACGCAGCCTGACCACAGGCCTGGGCTCTCCGCCTCCTGTCAGCGCGCCTCGCTGTGTGCCTAGGAAGTGCGTGGTCAGGAAGACCGGGCTGTAAACCAGTAAAAAGCCTCACTGTTCGCTCAGGAAATGGCGAAGCACATGCCCGGCTCATCGTGGCCAACACTCCCTTCAGGCAGCAGACGGCCACGTGGGCAGACGGCCTGTGTCTCTGGCAGCTGTGCTCGCTCATCAGGACTCAAATAGCCCAGGCTGCGCCCGCCCGGCCTACACGCTGCATCGCAACGTGGCTGCCCCTCCTCTGCCTGGAGAGATCCGCGTGGACGGCTGAGCTGAGCCCCCAGGCCCCGGGGGGCCCCCCAGACCTGCCCCGCTGGCCCACCAGTGTCTGCGGGCTGCGAGGCGGTGCTCTCCCTGCAGCAGCTGGTCGTCCCTGCGCTGGGGCATCGGCGGGGGTGTCGGCTGGTCTTTGGGGGGGGCTGGCAGTGGACAGTGATCATGGAGCCCCACACCAGCCCTGGACTTCCTCCCAGCGAGGGGGACGTACAGTTCTGTCTGGTCAGGACACGTGTCCCTTGGGGTTTGGTCCCTGGCAGACCAAGTTGACCCGTACACTGTCCACTCCCCTCCGCACCGGGCTGCCCATGGTTACGCCTGCACAGTACGGGGCACAGTAGTTTCTTGTGGATTTTGGACACCTGCTCGATACCCTGTTTCCCCGAAAATAAGACAGCATCTTATATTAATTTTTGCTCCCAAAGATGTGCTAGGTCTTATTTTCAGGGGATGTCTTATTTTTCCATGAAGAAGAATATGGTACACATTAATTGTTAAATGAAAATAAAGGAAATTTATTACCTGTATACGGTACGGTAGTACAGTAGTTGTCAACACAAACCAAACTGTGAATCCTACAGTATCAAGAATTTACTCATTTATTCAGTGACAATCATGTCATTATCTTCTGGAACATCATCATAACAATCCAATTCCTGAATTTCCTGTGACTCCATTTCTTTCAGAATCAGTGCACCAAATCTCTCATGTTTAGCCTAGGGGGGACTTATTTTCGGGGGCATGCCTTATATTTCACTCAGAAGGAAACCTGTAAGTAGGTCTTATTTTCGGAGGATGTCTTATTTTCGGGGAAACACGGTAGAACTGTTTCAGAAACAATCAGACACACCATCACGAATACACCTGAACAAGTGTTTCTTTCGAATTATCCACCCAGAGACTCTGTTCACGTAGCTCAATGAGACAGTTGTTGCTTTTGTAATTACATCTTGATTTCCCGTCCTCAGTGGGTGACAAACCACCTTTTTTTGTGAAAAACGTTTTATGTGGATAATTTCAAACGTACAAAGGTGAACAGAATGATATAATAAACAATGATCAACTTAGGACAAATCTTAGTTCATCTAGGTCCTTGGTCGGCAAACTGCGGCTCGCGAGCCATGTGCAGCTCGAGAGCCGAGGCTTGCCGCTCTGTTGACTAATGAGTTTGCCGACCACTGCCTTAGGGAAAAACACTTAAAAAAACATCTTAATAATGTTCTAATGTCTTTAACCTGAATCAGAACCTCTGGGTAAGGGTACTGCCTTACAGCAGTGGTCGGCAAACTCATTAGTCAACAGAGTGGCAAACTGCAGCTCTGGAACCACATGTGGCTCTCGAGCCGCAGTTTGCCGACCACTGATCTGGGCCCTGACTCCTTCCTTTTTTCCACTTGGATTACTTGGAAGCTAGTCCTAGCGATCACATTTTTCGCTAGTGCTAGCGATCACAGATATTTCATTCAGTTTATCCAAAAGATAAGGCTTCTTGGAAAAAATATCAGCCCACCTAAAATGCTCATAGTAATTTATTAATGTCATTAATATGATCAAACAGCATTTAAAATTTCCTAATGCATGATTTTTGTACTCTTTTATTTGTTAAAATCAAGGTAGGGATAAAGTTCACCTGTTGGTTGATGTCTCAGATGTTTTTCTTTAACGTTTTGAATGGAAGTGCACGCAGGAAAAGCATGTGAACCTTGGTGTTTGCCCAGGGAATGTCCCCATCCCCGCTCTCCTCCCCTGGAATTCACTTGGTCGAGAACACGTGAGCCCTGAAGTTTTCCACGGCCCTTCTGGCTGGCTGCCCGTGGTTTCGGCCGGCACGCTCTTCTCTCTTTCTCTCTCTCTCCTGTAAATTGCAGGTTACATCCAGTGGCTTATCAGATCAGCTTAGCTTTGGGCAAGACTATTGCGTAGGTGCTACTGTTGACTCCTGGTTCATGGTTCTTGGGGTGCCTCTTTCTTTTAAAAAAAATATATTTTATTGATTTTTTTTACAGAGAGGAACAGAGAGAAACATCAATGAGAGAGAAACATCAATCAGCTGCCTCTTGCACACATCCTACTGGGGATGTGCCTGCAGCCAAGGTGCATATCCTTGACCAGAATCAGTCCCCAGGCTGACGCTCTATCCACTGAGCAACACCGGTTCCTGCTTGGGGTGCCTCTTTCTGACGGCATATTTTGAAGGTGCCTGTGATGTGACCACCAGGCCAAAGCCGGGCCCACGTGGCAGGTGAGCAGGGTGTGATCTAGCTGGAAAATGGTGGTTAGAGTTGAAAAGGTGTGACCCAGTCATGACTGATTTTCTCATGAGGTGGGTAAAGTGTCCCCGAAGGATCTTCCAGAACAACATCCTGTGCAGTAGCAGCATCAAACGCACAGCCGCCAGGGGTGACTAATGAGAAGGGAACAGAGTGACATTGATGGAGAAATTGCACGGTGGTTAGAAAGCCAGCTCGGCTGTGTGGGCGGGCATCTGAGGTGTCCCTCTCGGGTCACTAGCTCCTGTTCAGGACCCCGAAATGTCACGGGATGTATCACACTCGGGTTGCAAAGTGGGCGCGGGAACCGCGCTTCTCTTGCTGAAATGCAGCCCGCATCTGCCCGGAAGGGCAGACCCTGCCTCTCGCCTTAGCTCCATCCCACCGCCCGGACGTGTTGACAGGTGGCAGCTGGGTCCCACCCAGCCCCTCCCCAGCCCTGGCGTTGCCTCATCGGCGAGAATGTGGTCGGGGCACTGCAGGGGAGGCCTGCTGCTTCTGAGCCGTCCACAAGAAATGGGGAAGCGCGAGGGCGCCCGCAGCTCCGCCGGCCGCCTGGGGGCGGGGCTCAGAGCAGACACCCGCCCGGGCCCCGCAGACTTCCCCGTCCCCATTCAGCGGAACCGCTCTCCCGGAGCCCGCAACCCCCACTGGGTGCTTCGCCCCGCCCCTCGCCCTGGCCCCGCCCCATGACGCAAACCGGGCGGAGTCAGCGTCCTGCGGCGAGAACAGCCGAACCTCGGAGCCGACCCCGCTCGGAGCTCCTCCCACGCTCACTGGCGCCTGCGCACTCGGCCCGGCCCGCTCGGCCCCACCCCCTCCCTAGCAACCGCGGCTGCGCCCGCCTCCCGCCTCGGCCGCGTCCGCGCGCGAGCGCCGCTTCCGGCCGCCCGGCCCCGCCCGCCCCGTCACCCGTGACAACCACTGGAGCCGCGCCGCGCCCCGCCCGCGCCCGCCCACTCCCCGGAACCGGTGGCGGAGCTGCGGCCGCGGCCAGTGGAGCAGCGACGGCGTCGCGGAGCCGCCGGGATGAGCGCCTCCCGCCGCCCCGCGTCCTGGGCCCGGCCCTTCTGACAGAGGTAGGCGCGCGCCGCTGCGGCGGGCCCGAGGGCGCCCCGGCGCGGCCTCTCCCGGCGCCGCCGCCGCGCCCGGCCCGCCCTTCCCGGCCCCGACTCCCCGCGGCTCCCCTCGGCCCGGGCCCTCCTCGGCCCCCAGCCGGCCTCCTCCCGCCCCCGGCCCGCCAACCCCGCGGCCCTCGCCGCCCTTCCCGGACCGGTCGCTCCCTCCCCGCCCCCACCCGCCCGCCTGCCCCGGCCGCCCCTCCTCGCGGGCAGTGGCGTTTGGGGGCCGAGCCCGTGGCTGGCGCTCCTCCCGGGCCGGCCGGGGCCTGGGGCCGCGGAGCCGCCGCTGCTCCTCCTGCCCGGCGCCCGGGGCCCGGCCGCCCCGGTCTGGCCGTGGCTGATGTTTCAGGACCAATTGTCCTGCAATAGAGGCTGCCCGGGCCTGGGTGCCCGTGGCCGGGGTCACTCCGACTCCCACGTAGCACGGGGCCCTGGACCAGAGCATCGGAGCTGGGCACTGGCGGAGCCTGCGAAGTGGCAGGTTCCCGGCGTGGTCCTCCGGGTCCTCCGGGTCCTGCGGGACCGTGGTCCTGGGTGGATGGCACGGCGCCTCCACCGAGCTCTCTGCCTTTTCATCCCCTCCCCCTCCCCGCCTTTTATCCCGACAGCCAGCCTCCTCCTCGCCCGGAGCTCCCCAAACTAACTTCCCGGGTCAGTTTTAAGAAGATTCCGGAATCCCCTGCTGCGCACCCACTGAATAGATCCCCGTCCCAGCGGGCCAGGACTGCGGCGGGTCCCGGAATCGAGAGAGAGAGAGAGAGAGAGAGAGAGAGAGAGAGAGAGAGAGAGAGAGAGAGAGAGGGAGGAGGGGGAGGGGGAGAGGGAGGGGGGGGAGAGAGAGAGAATCGATGCTTGCAGACTCTTGGCTCCGAGTCCCATGATTGTAGAACTGGAAATCTCATCTTGCGGAGGTGAACCGGGTCCGAGGGAAGTCACGTGACTCGTCAGGCGTTCAGCTGGAGCAGTTTCCAGCTGCGGGACCGGGACCTCTCCCGGGAGCGGGGCGGGAGCCCAGACCTGCTCCGCTGTCACCTGCAGCGGGAGCCCCGCGGAGGCCGTCCCTGTAACTGTGCTTCTTACCGTCTTGCCTCTAGACTCCGGGCTCTTGGAGGCTGTTCCACGTCTGCTTTTGAGGGTCCTCTCAGCGCACTCAGCGGAAAACAACACCCTGGATGATTACCCTCTGCAGGCAGGTGGGCGCTCTGGGTTTATCTTCTTTCTCAGGGTACCCGGGGCAGCACAGTGTGTTTTCAGAAAAGCCCCCGTGGGCCGGGCCGGGCTGTGAATTCCTCGCCAGCGAAGTCATTGATTGCTGACCGAGGTGCCAGCTGTGTGAGGCCGGCCCTTCCGGGGAGCCCGGGCCTGCGTTCCCGCGGCGCGGCCATGTGAAGGCGGGTGTCGGAAATGGGGTCTGCACACGTCCAGCGTGGGGGTGGACTGGTTTCCTTCGAAGTTAGCTCTTTTTATTTTTTATTTTTAAGAATGTGTTTTAATAAAACAATACATAAAAAAGAAAAAAAAGGAAAAAGAAAAATTTTTTTTAAAAATGTTTTTCTGGATTTCAGAGAGAGGGAGGGAGAGGAAGAGAAGGATAAAAACCCCAACGAGGAGAGAGGATCATTGATGGGCTGCCTTCTGCACACCCCCTCCTGGGGATGGAGCCCACAACCCAGGCCTGTGCCCTGTCCTGGTTCATGAGTTCATGCCCAACCACTGTGCCACACTGGCCAGGCTGACTTTGAAATATCAGTGGTATTTTTCTCACCCCGCCCCCCCCTTTGTTCCCACTGTTACATTTCTGTGTGGCCCTGCACTTAATGCCTTAAAGCGCCACCGTTTTTAGTGGCCTCTGGTAGAAGTTGTGCAGGAGAAAGCGGTCAGGAGCAGTTGTGTTGCTATCAGCACAATCAGGTGGTGACATCTCACCACGGGAAAGGAGGACCCGGGCTGCCCTGGGAAGGCCCAGCAAGGCAGCTCCAGAACAGTCCTTCCGGCCTCCGGCCAGCTGCTCCCTCATTGCACTGGGCTTCCCTCGCCCTCTCCTCTGTCCATTACCTCCGCTGCGGGCTGGCCCTTCGATTTGTGTGCGGGGAGGTAGGAGCTGTCATACCAGCCCCCGGAGGGTCCTTCCTGCCAGTAGAGTGTAGCGTGACGTGCGAAGTGCAGGCTCGGCCTTCTCCGTCCTGTTATCCTCACGTTTGTGCTTTGCAGGAGTGAGAAGCTTGCAGTGACGGCACAATCATGGTGCAGAAATACCAGTCCCCCGTGCGGGTGTACAAGCACCCCTTCGAGCTCATTATGGCGGTGAGTGCGAGCTTGTCCGTTTCCTCTGGTTCCTCACGGCTTCTCGGCGTTTGGGTTGATGGTCTATAAGCTGATTTGTTTGGCCCCATTGCTCCCTTTGTACTGTATGTTTTATGCTTATGAGCTGTATCTAGATTCGGTGAAATGTTTTCCCCCCCATTTTTTTATTAAGGTATTATATGTGTACATATCTTACCATTGCCCCCCCCCCCCCCCCCCCCGTGTGAAATGTGTTTAAACTCCCAGCCCCTCGGGTAACGCCCCTCCCTTTGAAACACAGTGGGATTCTGACAGACGCCTCTTCCTCTGGGTTGTGCTGTTTTTGTTGGTTAAAGTGGAACCAGGATCCGGAGCGCCCCCCTCCCCTGCCCTGTGGGGAGAGCGTGTGGTCACGGGTGAATTCCTTAGTACAGCGAGCGCCGTCCCATGGGGTTTAGTTGGCATTATCCTGGTTACTCTGCTGAATTCGTGTTTGCCCCTAACATCAAGTTCATGAGTCAATGAGAATTCCAACACCAGAGTTGCTAGTCTTTGTTATTTACCTGAAGAGTTTGACTGAAAATAAGCATTTCACTAGATGCAAAACCCCAGCCATCACCAGCGCTTTTAGCTAAAACCCGCCATCCCCAGCGCTTTTAGCTAAAACCCCGCCATCCCCAGCGCTTTTAGCTAAAACCCGCCATCCCCAGCGCTCAGAGTGGGTGCTGTGCCCTCCCCTCAGTGCACTGTTAAGGTCTCCCCTGGGCACAGGAAATGCTGTGTCCCAGCATGTGCTGAGGGAGGTGTCAGCTTGGACCAAGGTCAGGAACACAGCACAACAGCCCCCTGATCAGCCCCACCGGGCCCCTCTCAGCCCCCCACCCCCCAAGCACGTGGCTGGATGTTCTTTCTGTTCTATACACATCGAAACTCAGGTGTTAAGCCCCTCTGCTCTGCATGGTCGGTGAGTTTATCCAGATCCATCCAGTTTTGAAAAACAAAGCCCCCTCCAGGGAGTAATTAGGGTTGGGGAGGGAGGGAGGGAGTGGTCGCTGGCAGGTGCTCAGTGCGATCAGTCTGTTTGACAACAGAGTGGCCACACCTCCCCCAGGGTCAGACCTTTGCGCCTGCCCTGTTGCTCCCCCAGGAAGGCCCCTTGGCCCCTCTGCCAGGTGTGAGCTTTCGGTTTCTTTTCCGGAGAGATGCTGAGCTCCCTGTGGCCTGAGTGCCAGGCTGGTCCGTGTTGATGGCAGCCGCTTATGGAACAGCTCGCCCCCTGCTTGCACGGGCTGTGTGCGGGGTCTGTGTGCAGGTTTAGTGTTTGGTTGGTTGTAAGAGCAAAGACTCGCTCCAGGGAGCTGGAGGAGGAGGAGGAGGAGAGGAAAGGGGGAGCAGGAAGGGGAGGAGGGGAAGGGGGAGAGGATTGTTAGGCTGGCGATAGGAATGGATAGGAATGGTGCGGAAATGCAGGAATGTGGGCTGGGAGGGAGTTCCTGCAGTGCTGGGGCCTCAGCCACGTTCTCCCTGGTGAAGGTCCAGGGAGAACTTCACCGGCACCCGGGCCTCCGTGTGCGCAGCCTCTCCCCTCCACCAGCGGCCGCTCTGCCCACTCCCCAAGCTCCCTCCTCGGATGGCAGCCCATGTGCTTTGTAGCTGGTGAACCCCGCGGCCCAGTGCAGTGCTGGGGCGTTCTCGCTGCATTCTTTCCGTTTCTGAGCGGCCACTGCTTGCCATGCTTCCTCGTGGAGATTCTAGTGAGACTTGGCCTGATCAGCCTCCCCGGACCTCGATGGGGACCCAGTTCGCGCGATGCTTCCTCCATCTCCGTCCGCAGGCCGTCCTGCGTTCTGGGCTGCCCCCTGTGGAAGCGATCACCTCCGAACGCCTCTGCTTTTCTTCACGGGCCTCCGTGTCCCAGCTCCGTCCAGCTCACCTCACAGGCTGTGCGAAGTGCAGCCCAGACACTGTCTTCTCTGCGCCGGGGTGCCCCTCTCAGCGCCGCCCGCCCTCCCCTTTCTTTGGATACCTCCTCCGGTTTTCAGTGTTTGCCTTTCCCCATCTGTCTCTGGGAATCTCTTTTTTTTAATCTTCACCCAATGATATTTTTTTCTATTGATTTTCTTGAGAAAGTGGAAGGGGGGAGGGGAGAGACAGGGAGGAACACCCATGTGAGAGACACATCATCGGTGATCGGTTGCCTCCTGCCTGCGCCCCTGACTGGAATTGAACCCAAAACCCTCCAGTCTGCAGGCTGATGCCCTGACCAGTGATCGAAGGGCCAGGGCGTCTGGGAATCTTAATCTCCCTGACCCACCCTTTCCTGTCGGGCCGAGGCCTCTGAGCCTCAGCGCAGGCAGTGTGGTCCTGTCACCTGTTAGCGGAGTTTCTCTTCTCAGATATTCTGACTTTTTTCTAACACCTCTTTAAATTATGCAAACCCTGCCGACTAGGGCCATAGCAATGGGTTAAGCGATGCACTCTTACAGGGTGAATGAGCAGAAGGCACTTTGCTCGTGTGCAGTTGATTAAATGGCCGAGAGGAAGCGTGCCTTTTTGCTCTTTTCATCCTCATTTTATTCTGTTTGTTTCTCTTTTCTGTGCAGTTCTGAGTGCAAATAGGGTCTAAAACAGTTCATCCCCAGGGAACTGGAGCTCTTATTTATGTCGCTGTTTAACCCGCCTTCCAGTCCGGTATCTGAGCGGAAAGGGAAAGCACTTCAGGGAGTTCGCGTATTGGCAGGTGTGAGGAGGAGGCCTCTGAGCACCTGGCGGAAGGCCTGGGGCGCCCGCCTGGGGCTGGTGAGGCCCCGGCTCTCAGGGCGCTCGGCGCTGGACAGGCAGTGCTTGGTGCAGGCAGTGCGGTGTTCGCCAGGGCCCGGGAGTGGGAGGGGCTGTGGGGCTGGTGGGAGGCTCCACTCACGTTCCCTGAAGAGGAGGTTTTAGTGGCCACTGTTAGCACCGATGCTTCTTTCTTGGTTTTCAACCTGTCCAAGAGAAGCTGACAGCTCTTCTGCGTGATTTCACACGTGACAGTGCGAATGATGCGTCATAATTTAGAGCGGTCCAGTCTGTCGTCAGGGCTGCTTGCCCGCCCTCTGCACGCCGGGACCTCCTGCCGGGCTGGGCGGCCACCTCCGTCATGCACACCGAGTCTCCGCCCTGGCCGCTGCCCCAGGCGCGCTCACTGTAAATCTGAACAGGCCACTCGCTAGTTTAAAATCCTTCAGTGGCTGCACTTCACCTTCAAGAAGTTCAGCTTCTTGAGTGTGATCCAGAGCTTCCCTCCCCCTCCTTTCCCTGCGGCTCCGTGGCCCATGCAGGCCCCACACCCTCTTCACACTCCTCTGTGGGTGCGGGCAGGGTCTGCAGTTCACGTGGTTTCTCATGGCCTCCATGCCTGTCCACCAGCCTGCAGGACCCCTTTCCCCCCCGCTCACTATCTGCCTCTCCCCCTCCCCCCAGCTGGAGCAACTGGCCGGTGCCCTCTGGCTGGGTCCCAGCTCTGTGTTCCGCTGCCCGCTGCCCGCTGCCCGCCCGGTCGCTGGGCCTGCTGGCTGCCCCTCGGGCAGGCGTTTTGATGCTGCAAATCCAGCCATCTTGCTTTTCATCCTGAGCACATAGGAGCCTCAGAAGTAGGTCTGAGCACAGACTGAGGGAGCCTCGGAATGTCCCCTCCCCTCCCAGCCCCTTTTCTGCCAGGTCTCTGCCTGACTGCCGCTCCCTCCGGAGTGGGTCAGACACATTTGTCCTTTGTGACCTGCTTCCTTCACTTCGCTTGATGCCGTCACTGCTGATGTGGGAGCACGTGTCAGAATTGCCTTCGGAGGCTGAGCAGTTTATTTTGCATATAGACTACATTTTGTTTATTCACCCATCCGTGGACACTGTTGGGGCCATTATGCTTATTGTACAGTTTCAACTATAATGTCAACCAGAAATAATTGCATACCTCTTAGGATTATTTTTTGTCTTTTATATTTGATAGATTCTAGATCTAAAAGACAAGTTCCTGAGGAATTCACTTACTGTATCTCACCCCACGCAGTCAAAAGATAGCTCTCTCATTTACATTCGTGACTGCCGTGCTGTGAGTTTCTTAGAGAAAGAGCAGCGTCTGACAGCAGGTGGAGGAGGAGCTATGGTGACCGCCGGACGCAGAGGGGCCGGGCAGGGAAGGAGCGGCAGGCGCTCGGGGCTGTGTGGACGGGCGTGTGTGAGGCGTGGAGTCAGTGGGCCGGAGAGAGACCTCCCTGATGGGTCCCGCCCGCTCCTGCTCGCAGCCCCTGACGGTGCAGTTTTATTGTGGCTCCCGAAGCCAGTGACACTCCATCGCTCCGCCCCTGTGTGCGGGCGGACGGCAGCTGGGGTGACAGCTGTGCGCCCGGGCGCCACGTGCTCCTCTGAAGTTGAGCTTATTTTTCAGCTCCGGAACGGCAGTGCGCGCTCCCGCCCGCCCGGCTGCAGAGGCGTGCGAGCCGCTGCTGCTGTCACGTTCAGTTTGCTCTTTATCAGACAGAAAATCGCATGGAAAACCGGGGCTTGCTATGGATCCCATTGGAGCATGAGTCAGTCACGTGATTGCTTTAAAGACACAATGAAGCCCGTGGAAAACAGAGAAGAGAGACCTTTCAGAGTATGCAGCCGCTCCGGTTTGCCTGGGGCTTTAAGAAACTGGCCAGTGAAACATTTGACCTTCCAGGCTTATTGACAGAAATAAGATACTTAAGTATCAAGACCTACTTAGAGACTGGGTACTTCTAGTTTTTCCAGCTAGCGTCCTTGAATTCTCTGACAGGGATGAGTTAATGCTTTTATTTTGACCATCGAAAAAATACATAGAGTCCTGGCAGGTTTGGCTCAGTGGATAGAGCATCGGCCTGGGGACTGAAGAGTCCCAGGTTTGATTCCTATCAGGGCACAGGCCCGGGTTGAGGGCTCAAACCCCCATAGGGGCTGTGCAGGAGGCAGCCGATCATTGGTTCTCTCATCATGGATGTTTCTCTCTCCTCCCTTCCTCTCTG